TCAGTCAAACAAGACCCAACACTTTTATTCCTGATTTAAAGTAGTGATCATGTGAGCAGCTGCAGCTGTATGCTTTTTTTCTGTCAGGCTGTCGGAGCGCTCCTCCTCCTCCTCTGTCCGAGGCTGGTGTGGGGTGAGGTGGACAGCTTAGCCGAGGCTGCTGGAGCTCCAGGTCCTGATCCACGGAGCCAACACGAGTCAGTCCCAGACTGAGCTGACTTGATCAAGTCTCTCTCTGCTTCTGGTGAGGAGGAGGGTGAAAATCCTCCACCTCAGACGTTCAGAGATGTAACTATCTGCGTCGCTGTGGTCACTCTCCATGTAGCATCAATTATGCTAATGCTAGCTGTTGCATTCTCTCGTCCTGGCCACACCTCGGCTCTCTAACCCCACCCTTCTCCACCCACACCCCCTCCCCTACCCACTTTGATGCATTTTTCAAATTTCGCCTTGGGGCGGAGTTATCTTTTCACAGGGGGGGTAAGATACACTTTAAGGAAGCTGAGATCCTTCAATGTCTGCAGCAAGATGCTGTAGATCTTCTACAAGTCTGTTGTTGAGAGCGTCGTCTCTTCTGCCATCATCTGTTGGGGCAGCAGCATCAGAGCCAGGGACCTAAAAAGGCTAAACAACCTGATAAAGAAGGCTGGTTCTGTTCTGGGGACGACTGGAATCTCTGGAGATGATGGTGCAAAGAAGGATTTTACATAAAATCAAGACTGTTGCAGAAAAACAGTGCGTCTTCAGTTTGGTTGTAATACAGACCTCTACAGAAGATTTTCCTGCCCACAGCAGCATCTACAATAACGCTTTAGTTAAATGAGTTACTGCAACATCTAATTTCCCTGTGGGATCATTAAAGTTTTTTTAAATTGAATTTAAATTGAATTTGAAATAACTTTGAATTGAATCACCACTAAAGTWGAACCAAAACAGTGATTGGAACCAAAAATGAATTAATTTGTTCTTGGTTTTACAAACAGAAATAACTGGAGATAAAAAAAAATTCAGAAAAGAAAATGTTTATTGACTGCAGAAATCACTAGATGTGGTTTAACACAGAGCACAATTTATTCTTTTTTATAACTATACAATAAAATTCACTGTACGAATAACAAAATTAAACAAAACCACATTCAGCTGCAAATCTGGACTAGAATCTAAGGATGAAATGAGGACAACACTACTGGAGGAGACAGAGCTGAGTTGTTTCAGACAGATGGAGTCTGTTGTGACGCTGGTCCTGTTTTCAACATTTCCTGTAAAACAACAGAGAACATCTGTTAAAAGATCTCAGACATTTGGGAGAATTATTGAGACGTGCATTATGGATGCACCAATACCAGTATCAGCTATCAGTTCTAATGGTGTGACCTGTACTTATGCACATTGAGATAATTCAGACCTGTCTTTAGCTATCTGAGTACTCAGATAAAGACAGAGATTAGTGACAAACATCATCAGGTGTGCAGAAGTTTGGCTTCACACCAGTTAGAGCCCCGTCCTTCATGATTTCATAATTCACTAATTTCAGTCAGAAAACTTTAAACAATGCAGGACAGTGGAGTCTGACACACCACTGAGTCTTAGCCTTTATAAATTTAATTAAAAGTCACATCCCTGACAGTACAGTTTGTTCACACTCTGACCAAACCATCAATCAGAACCAGAGGTGCACRTGTGTGATAAAAAGAGAAGTGCACCAGAGGGAAAGTCATAAGGCTGAGTTGCATATTTAAGTTTGTACCTGAGATTGTGAAAATAACAGCTAGCAGGGCTCCAGAGWGCAACCAGATTTCTTAGTTTGAAAAGAAATAAAAAAATCCAGTTTGACTGGTGCAATCAGTCGTTCGAGGAGGGCAGTGGGTCCTGGCTGTAYCAGGGTTAAACAGACACTGCTTTCAACGAATCAGACGAACCCCAGAACCGTTTTATCCAATCAGAGCAGAGTAGGGCGGGTCTTTCAGTTTTCAGTGAGTGACTCAACTCCTGTCCTGGTGAAAGTGTGGTGCCACAGGAGTGTGCTGCTGCACACAGGCTGAGTCTGTGAGATTCACTGTTTGAGTTCTTCTAATTAAACCATATTAACTCAATATTAATGTAAAAATGGGACCCCGCCTAACATCACCCCCATCCAAAAAAAAAAAAAAAAAAGCTTGCCATGCTCTCTAGGTG